CCCTATGATTTGGATATTTGAATGTTTAAAGTTGTCCCAGAGGTTCCTCAGCCTCTCTTCATTTTCTTTTTTGAGTTCTTGTTTCTTCATTCTGTTCCTGTTGGATATTTATTTCTTCCTTTTGTCCCAAATCATTGGTTTAAATGCCTGTTTCCTTCCCTTCACTGTTGGTTGCCTGTATATTTTCTTCTATTTCACTTTGTATAGCCTTCATTTCTTCCTTCATCTTGTTTCTGAATTAATCAGTGTTTTGAACTCTGCATCTGATAGGTTGGCTATCTCATTACTTAGTTCTTCTTCTGGAGTTTTTATCTGTTTTTTCATTTGGGCCACATTTCTTTGTCTTGGCATATGTTATGTTATAAAGGGTGGAAACTTAGGTATTTGCCAGATCAGGGCAACCCTCTTTGCTGTGTTGTGGTGCTGTCTGTGGAGGAGGGGTCAGAGAAGGAACAATGCCTCTTCTTGCTCAGCTCTCACCCCACATTTCATCACTTCCATCACTTCCCACAAGTGGACTCTTCCCTTTCAGGTGCTGATTCCCAGGTGGGTGGGTTTGTGTATGTTCTAGAACCTCATGGGCCTCTCCAAGAGACTCTTCTGTGAGAGTGAGAGTTTCTCCTGCCAACACAACCCCCACAGGTTTTTACAGCCAGATGTTTTGAAGCTTTATTCTCCAATCAATGGAACCCTGGGCAGTGCAGTCAGGCCTGAGGCTGGGATCACTGTCCCCAGTTGTCCCTGCCACACACACATTTTTATCCACCACACATTAATGTGGGACTACCCATTCTGTGGGCTGCCACCACAGCTGCCTTGCCACCACTACCACCTGCCACTGCCTCACCACATCACACCATATCCTCTCTGCCCCTCCTATCCATCTGAATTAAAGTTTCTTCTTTAAATCCTTGGTTGTTGGACTTCCATACAGTTCAATTTTCTAGCAGTTCTGATTATTTTTAGATTGGTTGTTATCCTTCTTATGGTTGCGTGGGGAGGCAAAGTGAGTCTACCTACACCTCCATCTTGGCCAGCCATTTTTATAACTATGTTCTTTTTCTTTTTTTGTCCCTCCTTTTCTTAAAGAAGTCCCTTTACATTTTTTAAATACTAGTTAGGTAGTAATGAACTCCTTTTGCTCTTTCTTTCCAGTAATTTTTTAAATTTATCCTTCAATTTTAAATGATAGATTTGCCTGGTAAATAGTTTTTGTTGTAGGTCCTTGATTTTTATCACTTTGAATATTTTTTGACAATCCTTCTGGCTTAAAATGTTTCTGTTGAGATGTCAGCTGACAGTCTTACAGGAGCTCACTTGTAGGTAACTCTTTCTCTTACTGCTTTTAAGATACTTTTATTGTCTTTAACTTTTGCCTTTAGTTATGATGTGTTTTGGTGTTGGCCTCTTTGGGTTTGTCTTGTTTGAGATTCTCTGTACTTCCTGGTTTTTTTTCCTTCACCAAGTAAGGAGAGCTTTCCATCATTAACTTTTCAAATAAGTTTTCAAAGCTTTGCTCTCTCTCTTCTCCTCTGGTGCCCCTGTGATGCAAATGTTGTTATTCTTCATGTTGTCCCAGAGGTCTCTTAAACTATCCTCATTTTATATATATGCTCTGATTGCATGTTTTCTGCTACCTTGTCTTCTAAATGGCTGATTTGGTCCCTGCTTTTATTTAATCTCCTGTTGATTCCATTAGTGTATTCTTTATTTCAGATATGGCATTCTTCATTTCTGACTGGATCTTTTTATAGTTTCTATGTCCTTTTTATGTTTGCTGTCTCTTTGCTGAAGCCTTTACTGAGTTTCTTGAGTATACCTATAACCATTGTATTGAAGATCTGGATCTGGTATATTGCTTACATGATTTCATTTAGTTTGTTTTCTGGGAATTTCTCCTGTTTTTTATATGAAATGTGTTTCTTTGTCTCACCATTGTGGCTGCCTCTCTGTATTTGTTTCTGTGTATTAGGAAAATCTGCTGTCTCCCAGTCTTGGTGGGTTGGCCTTATATAATAAATGTCTTGTGAGGTTCAGTGGTTCATTCTCACTTATCACTGGAGCTAGGTGCTCCAGGAATGTCCCTTGTGTGGCTTATGTGAGCCCTCCTGTTGTACTTAAGTCTTGACTGCTGTTGGTCCTTTTGTGGTTAAGGTTAATCCTATGGCTATTTGACTATGTGGATGCCCCTGACCACAGTGTATGAGGTGCTGCACCAGGGCTGACCTCATGAAGCAGAATTCACCTCGGCAGTATCTGGTGTCTAGTGAGATATCCCTTTGGTTATGCTGCTTGTGGAGCTACTTGAGTTATACTCTAGTGTAGTCTGAAGCCTGCCACCAGGCGTATTGGTTCTAGGGCCTCTTGGGAGCATCTCTGGTGCAGGTTAATGGCAGGTACTCCCTTTAATGGGTCCTGAAATACTTGTTTGGAACTACAAAGCAATCCACAGTTTGTAGCTGCCTCTACTGGGCCTGAGTGTGCATGGGAGAGGCCAAGCTGTGCACTAAGGCTGGCTTCCATCCACAGTGAACCAGGGAAGGTCAACTAAAGATCCAACATTTCCCAAATCTGCCAGCTGCCTGTTAGGCTCAATCACTAAAAGAGCCTCTGGAGGTACAAAAGTTGCATGAGGTAGGTCCTCAGTTAGTCACCAGGTAGTGGCAAGTGGTGTTCATGAAACTGATACAGATTCAAAGTATCATGGTGTTCATGACACTGATACAGACACTTCTGGGTCTGAGGCCACTCAGCCAAAGTTCCAGGATACACCAATGCTAGGCACCACCTGCCAGGTGCCTGGTAACCTTTGTAGTGGGGTAGGGTCTTAAGGAGTCATCAGGATGAGGCCAACAGAGTTCATCAAGTTCTAACAGACCAAGATTTGGCTGTGTGAAAGGAGGGCTCTGCACAAGAACTGCGGCACCAGTTGGGCATGTGAGGAAAAAATGGCCCCCTCCCTAAAGCCATACAACTCAGTCTTTCCACAGTTCTGCTTGGATGTCCTGAATAACCTTTCTAGAAAGTCTGCACTGTGGATCTAGGGGTGGCCACAGCCAGCTGTTGGTGTCAGGAGGGTGGGGCTAGTACATTTCCATAGCTTGATGCCTACAGATGGGAGTGTGCTACCCAGGAAATGTGGTACTTGTTGGCAGTATGGGAGAGGGAATTAGCACAGGTGCCCTGGTGGCTGTCCCCTCAGCTCTCTTTCCAGAGCCACAATACACCCAGTCCCTCTTCTCATAATTCCACTCCAGTCTGAGCCACACTCCCTCAGTTAGAACCTAGGGTAAGTGGCTGTGAATGAGACTTTGTGTGCTGGCCCTTTAAGACAGCACCTGGTTTTCCAGTAGACTCCAGTCTCTCTCTGGTAGACAGAATCCCTGCTGATTTTCACAGCCAAATGTTACATTCACTCCTCTTCCTGGCCCTAGTATCCTCTTCCAGGCTCTAGACTTGAGCGCCTAGTGTAGGCTGAGAAGGGACCTTTATAGCTGAGATATCTCTCTGGATTTTCAAACACCATACTTGTTTGTGGGGCCAGCCCTTTTTGTTTCTCCACTCTTCCTATAAGTCTCGATGTAGCTTCTTGTGTAAATCCTTGGTTATGAGACTTCTATTCAGCTAGTCTTCTTTAATTGGTTATTTAGGTTAACTGTCCTATAATTTAGTTATAATTCCAGTTTGGTACTGGGAGGAGGTGAGTGTAACTTCCACCTACTCTGCCACCATCTTGGATCCCTGATAAGTTTATATATGATGAAATTTATATTTACTTAATAACAGGCTCAAAACTGTACACTAAAACTTGACAAAACTAAAAGGAGAAAAAGACAAATCCATAATCTCAGCGGAATGTTTTAACACAGCTCTCTCAGTAACTAACTGACAAAACTACCCTACAAAAATAAGTGAATATGTAGAAGGGTTATATAATATGACCTAATTAACATTTATGGAATACTGCACCCAACAATTACAAAATATATATCCTTTACAAGCACACATAAGCCATTTTCTAATATTGACTTTTATATGTCAGTACTAGGCAATTTTTCATACAATATCTCCCCTAATCATAACACAATTGTGAAATAGACAGCTGGCCTAGAAATTTTTCATTTGCTCCTTCAGACTCACCCTGTCCCTTCTCTCATGCTCTGTGTTCTACAAACCTAACTTGTATGGATTACTTTCACAGCTACTTTCCTCTCTGGCTTCTGATTAGGTTCAGCCAACTGGAGGCAAGAGCATAAATTGTTGAGTGAGAGGAGGATAGAGATAGTTTATTTATTCTCCCTGCTTTCTCCCTGAAGGGTTGCTGAGGATGGCTGCATCCATCCTCCCCTATCAAAGTCTGCTTCTGCCAGGCAGCACTCACCAGACAGCTGCCCTCTGCAAGTTCCAGTACCCATTCTTCCCCTGCTGCTTTTCAGGTGCTAAAGGCCCTTGCTACTATTAGTCCTGGGGTGCTGTGTCATCCCTTGTGGGTCTTCCCAAACTTTGCCCACACTTTTCCAACAGTCCCTTTGTAAACTCTTCAAATCATCCAGTTAGAGTGTCCCATGTTTCCTGCAAGGACCCTGGCTGTGTATTAGCATCTCTGTCTTCATTTAAGAAAACATAAGCTCAGGGATATCAGCAACTCTCACAGGTCACATGACTCCAGCTATGCTTCCTTTTACCAGTGTAGAAATTAGACAGTTTCATCTCTTGCCCACATTATTAATAAATCATTAACACTGGAACATCCTTTCAACTTCAGACAATAGTATGCCCTGAAAATAGGTATGTCTTGAATAAATTTTGAATGTGAGTTGTAACATGGCCTTTCTTAGTTTCCTAAATGTCAGGAACATCATGTCCTCCATTTAAAGTAACTTGATTTGTTTTTTCGTTAGTTTTTGGTCTTTTAGAGAAAGTTATTCAATACTGTGATTATGACCTCTGAGTTTAATACTCCTGTGATATTTTTGTCTTTCTTCTTTGCTGTTTTCCAGATCGCCAAGAGGTTATCTCCAAAAAAATACTGGAGTTGGACCCATGGGAAAATCAGTGGAATGTTATAGCTATCGATGTCCTCATGCATGACAGCTATGATGTCTGCTTGGTTGCCAGGATGAATCCTCGAGACCTCATCCCCCCACCTTCAGATTTGGTGGAAGAAGGCAAGGAGCACTGAGGTCAGCATTGCTACAGAACCTCCTGTTGTGTCTGCAAAGGAGGCATTAGAAATGGAGAGAAATCTTGGGCATCCATACATGTGCTTTAAATGTGTAGTAGCCCATGTGCAAAGCAGCAAGGACTGGTCACTGCAAGGGGAGTGTGCAGAGCCCACCCTTAGGGACCTTTACTTGCTCAAGGTGGACAAGATACAACCAGGCAGAATGTAGTGATGGCACAGAATGAGTACAGGGTGAATTCCATACTGCTGCGGACTTAAGAAAATCATCGCCAAGAAGCAGACCTTCTATTAGGGCTTCAGAGGATGAAAGGAAAGCAGACCCATGTGTGCAATTGATAGTGAGATTATGGAAATAGCTGAATGAAGGACAGAGGTGGACCAGTTGGCCCGGGCCAATGCCTTTGGTATAAAAGCTAGAAAAGTAGGTTATAGCTAAATGACCAACATTTGGAAGACCAAGGACTTTGGACCTAGTCTCTGAGCAGGGGCATGATCTCAAAATTGTAGTATAAAGGAAGACTTTGTGCTCTGTTCAGGCTTCAGTCTTATAAAGACCATCTATTCTCATGCAGAATACTCTTCTAATGCAACAATATTATTCAAAACAGTGCTAGCAGTGTAATATAAGTTCATAACATCCCTGCCACTCAAACCCAACCACAGTGAGCAGAGAGATTCTACCCTTGGCTGGGGCTGTGTCAGCAAAGGAGATGCAGGGTTCTGTAGCCATGGTCCTCTCTTGGGCTGGTACAGAGGGCCCTGGATTGAACTTAACTCAAGCTGTCCTTGACTAGCTCTGAGACACACATGGCCTTTTACAGTCTAGTCCTGGATGAATACAATTGAAGTTCACCACTCAACCCAGACACAGACCAGGCTCTGTAGTAAATAAGAGAGGAAGCATGCCCCTTTGGTGGCCAGCTGCCCTCTTATATCCAGCCTTTGCAATATCTTTCTCAAGGCTGAAGAAGAAGAATGGAAACTCCTTCTTCAGCCCACAGTTGAGCATAATCAGAAAACAGCCACTCCCAAAAATGTATTTTAGGAATTACACCTGGGAACCCTGGCCAGGTGGCTCAGTCTATTGGAGCATTGTCCATACACCAAAAGGTTATGGGTTCAATTCTTGGTTGGGGCATATACCTAGGTTGTATGTTCAATCACCGACTGGGGTATGTATGTGAACAACTGGTCAATGTTTCTCTCTAATATCAATGCCTCTCTCCCTCTCTCCCTCTTTCCCTTCTCTCTCTTCTGTCCTCTTCTCTCCCTTCTCTCCTTTCTCTTCTCTCTTCTCTCTCTTCCTCTCCCTCTCTCATCAATAAATATAACCTTAGGGGAAGATAAAAAAACATCTGGGAAATCCATCTGTTTTACTTACCATCTATACTTCTGGAAGCACAGTGGATTCAAAGAATGCACTTTGATAGATGGTGCTCAACAATTTCTCAAGACTTTTACCCTACACAAGCCTCTGTTTAAAGCAAGAGTGGTTAGTAAATTGCCTAGAACTTTACTAGAGGGAAACATTCCTAGATCAAGACAGCTTTTCCTTGGTATATAGTTGTGTGACTGTGGTGACTGCTACTCCATGTCCCCAGGTTTCTAGCTGCTAACCCAGGCTGGAGAGACATGTCCATGGAGACAAGCTAGTTGTAAACCTGATTTTGCCACCATGAAGGGGGATCCAGTTAGACCCAAGGTAATTTGTTCCCTAGTAGGCTAGACATGGTAGAAGCCATGTCTCTCTCTCTGCAGTTGTACCAAATTGCCCTCTGCAATTACTGGCACATATGGGTCTTTGAGCGGCCAGTACATGGTAGCATTTCTTAATCTGAGGTCTTGGTTTCTAGGAATCTCAGTTAAAATAAGTTAAATCTTCTCCCTGGTGAAAAAGGTCCTAATCTGTGGATTCTTTTTCTTACTACAAAGGAAGAGTAGTTCCTCTCAGCAGATGTATTGGCTGGTGGTGTCCATGTTGAGGGGAACCACCGCAGGTCTCTGCTTGACTGACCTCCTCTTAATGGAACCCCTGCACCTGCTCCACCTATTTGAATATAAAAGCTGTCACATTTCCCTTGATTAGAGAGGTGTTGCCAGAATGTCAGAACACTTTTCTGGATGCATTGGATTTCAGATCTTGGCTTTAGTCCCAGGTCTGCTACTTAGCTGCGTTATCTTGGGCAAAATAACCTTTGTAAAGCCTTATTTTCCTGATATACAGAATGGGAATAAAAATCCTTTATAAGTTTGGTGTGAGGATTGAATGAGAAAGTGGTAGCAGAGTGCCTGTAAGGCACTAAAACACTAAATATTTATTAGCTGCTATTATTATTATTATTATTGTTGTTTTGTTGTTGTTGTTATTATTATTATTACACTCAGCATTTCCCAAAGCATAGTGCCCAGAATAACCCAATGCTTGAGTGCAATCTCTTGAAATTCTAGGCAGAAATATACATATAATTTGAGATAGTTCTTTTTTTAATAAACCCTTTTTCTTTTTAATTTTTTTTTACTTATGGTTTGAGGAAGAGAGAGATTTGTTGTTCCATTTGTTTATGCATTCGCTGGTTTGTACTTCTATGTCCTCTGCCTGGGGATCGAATCCACAACCTTGGCATATTGGGACAATGTTCTAACCAACTGAGCTACCTGGCCAGGACTGCAGTAGTTCTTAATTTTCCAGACCCAGCCTCTTGGCTCCTCCACTTGGTGTGTTCAGACAAGCAATGGTTTGCTTTAGTGTTTTTTTTAAGCCCTTGCATTTCTTGTCTGACTTTCATACTTGCAGTTCAAAACTAGACACTTCTGCCCTCCTGTTGTTAGATAGTGTTAGAGATTCAGCTTTGAAATGGCATTTTTCTTTCAATCCTTTTTTCACTTTAATATTGCAATGGAGGACTTTTATAAAACTTTGGCTATTTGTTAGCTCTCTTTGTGAAGCAGGATTGTTTGACACTGAACAATAGAACACAAAAGAAAAGTGATTTGGATGCTAGGGCTGATAGAAGATTACAGTTGTCAAATATACCCAGGTTCAGTTTGTGTTCTTCAGGAAAGCATTATTGGTCTCACTAGTTGATTATAATGAGCAAATGCTTTGAATTTGAACTTATAAAATTTTACTAATAAAAGATCACTTTCATCTTGTTATTCATATTGCAATTCAATGTCAATTTCATTTGAAGAAGGGGCTCGTATGCCCAGAAAGTGCTGAGTGCCAGCAGTGGAGTTGGGGGTGGGGAGCGTGACCAGCCAGAAGATTATCAGGAGCAAGGCTCAGAGATCAGAATGTATCAAGCAGGTAAGGAACAGGAGGTGGTCCCATTTGCCAGGTGGCTGAAGCACAGGAGGATGCAGTAAAAGGAGATGAGGCCAATCACAGAAGCCCTCAAATGCTACACCAAGGAGTTGGTCTTCATGCCCCATCAGCATAGCTTAAGGCAAGGATGCCCTTTAAGAATACCTTTCCACAACCCTGTGTAGATCACTAGAGAGCAGGTACAGGTAGATGAGCAGGAGGCCTTATAAGAACCCAGGTCACAAAAGCTGACAACCCAGTAATGTAGGGAACAATGAGAGTCCAATACATCCAGAAATGGAGGGTGTCAATAGTTTGCTTGCCAATTCAGAACCAGGGAGATGCCAAGAGTTTAGCCACAAGGGAATAGCCATTCAGTCAAAACCAAAAACCAGAAAATTTTTCAAGGGGTCCTACCCTCTTCATCTTAAAGTGTTTCTTATAGCGTCACTGTCCAAATGGATCCAGCTGTTCTTCCTGAGACTGGGATCACCAAGAGAGAAGATGTATCAGGGTGTAGAGTCAAGTCACCCCATTTATTTTCCAACTCTAGCAGACCCACCTGGGTGTTCCCTATAGACATCCCCCTATTCTTCTTGTATACAGCAACCAGACCCTGATACAACTTATTGATAAATCCTGCTTTTAATGAATGAGCTGTAACAATACCATTTCCTTCCCCCAAGGTTAGTTTAACACAGCCATGTGGCACAATCCTGGCCAAGACATACAGGAATATTTAAAGAGGGGCTTTGGGAAAGGTTTTCTCTTTTGAAAAGCTATAGAGAAAAAGATGGGGTCTTCCTCTGCTGAGTCTTTTCAAGTCTGCATGCCCCCCTGGAACTTCAGAAACTGTCTTGCAATGATGACAGACTGGGAGGAGACTGCTGAGGTTGATCCACAGAGGGAAAAGACCCAGGTCCTGGACCCATGGGTTCCATGGATTGGGATACACTACTGAATGAATCAGCCCTGGGACTTCTTGCTAGATGCTAATTGTTGCAACAAATGTCCCTTCTCATTCAGGTTCCCTTGAGTTACTTCCAGCCCAAGACTTCCTAATTGATGTTCTAACCTTCCTCCACCAAAGCCAATTTCTGTTGGGATCAAATTGATAGCTCTGCTACAGGAAAGGACTCAAATGTTCCTGGACCTTGGAATATCTAGTGAGAAGTGATTTAGTTCATTTCAGTGAGGGAAGCTCTACATGCCTGGTAAGTGACTATGACTTACAATCCCAAGTTACTCCTTAACTATTTCTTGAATATTTTTCTCTCCAAACTTCAACATTTTTGTTTACTACAAACTCCACCCACCAACTGTTTTTGTAAATAATGTTTTATTGACACATAGATAGACTCATCATTTTTGGATTGTCTGTGATGCTTTCACACAGTAACAGCAGAACTGAGGGGCAAAAGAGACCTCTAGTCTACAAAGTCTAGAATATTTACTATCCAGCCCTTCACAGGAAACATTTGCCAACTTCTGGTATATTCCATCAAATTTTCTTGAAGAAAAATGCTGAGCAAAGGGAATATATAAATTACAAAGGGAATATATCAATTACAAATATATATAAATTTGCATATTCTTTTTTTACATATATAACGTGACTAATCCATTCTTCTTTTATTCAACAGTATATCTAAAACAGCAATATAGTATTCCATCACATATGTAGCATAATTTCTTAAACAAATCACCAAGAAATGGACATTTTGGTTGGTTACTCCAGCATTATTCAAAGGGGAGGGATTTGACTTCCCACTCTATTGATCTGGGCTCTGGCACCAGGGTGGTGATTGTTTAGAATATGGGCTTTGCCTTGTACTGAAAGTCTCTGTGGGAGCTTGGAGCATTAGATACAGATGCAGAAGTCTGCCTACTTGTGGTGGACATGGCCCCAAGCTACATAGAGGCATTTGGGCTTACTGAGAGACATTATGGATAACAGCCAAGTTAGGAAATAGACCCGTATCATGCAAAGACCTGCCCAGGCTGAGCAGAGGACCTCTATGAGGTAGCAGTCAGCTGTCATTGAAATGACAACTGGACAATGCAGGCACAGTCTCCACATTCTGTGGGGGGTTATGCCCATCCTGCAGCATTGAGAAACTCAACAGTAGATGATCTCCACTGGCATGGAGCACAGGAAAAATACATGGGTCAGAAAGAATAGCTGAATCTTCTGGTTCCAGTGAAACACAAGGCTTTTAACCAGCAAGGACACTTCTTTCAGATCAGAGCCATAACTTAAGGCCCAGAAGACCTGCTGAAACTTGTTTCTCTGCCTTCCCAATACTGTGAATTTTTAGAACAATGTTATCAAAGGGAAGTGTGCCAGTATTGGATCTTCTTCATCTGAGGGGGCATGCCATAAGAGGGGGGGACCAGGAAGAGGGCAGAGGTGGAACCTGTCCCCTATGGCACAGATATGAAAGCCTCTGGCTCCAGACAAAACCCACTCTCTCCCCCTTTCTCTATCTCTACTCAACACATATGGCTGCTCAGCCCTGAAGTTGGCACTACCAGGATACCTAGAATAAAGCAAGAGAATACCTTGGTGTTCCTCAGAGAGAAGACACACTCAAAGAAAATCACAAAGCATCAGTTAATCAACATGTTTTGAGCACTTTTTCTGAGCCAGGCACTGTTATGGGAAAAGGGACACAATGCAAGTCCAAGCTCTCAACAAGTTCACATTCTGTAGGAGAGAAGAGATGTGCAAATACAGTGACATGATATCTTCTGAGAGGTTAGAATCTAAATCCACACCAGGTAAAAATGCAGTATAATTATCCCTGCATTCATTTCCTATTGCTACTGAAAAATATCATTACAAATTTACTGGCTTAAATTGCAACATGAATTTATTATATTATACTTCTATAATTCAGAAATCTAAAACGGATCTCTGTGGGCTAAAATTGGAGTGTCTTCAGGGCTACAGTCCTTTTGAGGCTCTGGGGAAGAATCCATGTCCTTGCATTCTTCAGCCTTGGGGGTCTGCTGGCACTTCTAGGTTTGTGGATTCTTCCTTCATCTTCAAAACCAACAATCATACTGCCCTGCTTTGCTCCTATTGTCACGCCTCCATTTCTGACTCCCTCTCCCACTTTAATGAGCCTGTGATTACACTGAGCCCACCCAAACATTCAGGATATTTTTCCTATCATAAGGTAGGCTGATTAGAAACCTAATTCCCCTGTGCCATGAAATTTTAGATCATTGTCCCTCAGTATCTATGGTGACTGGTTCCAGGACCTCACCCATTCCAAAGTCTGCCTATGCTCAAGTTCCTTATATAAAATGGTACAGTATCTGCCTATAACCTATGGAAACCTCTCATTTACTTTGAAATCATCTCTAGATTATTTATAATACCTAATATAATATAAATACTATGTAAATAGTTGTTATACTGTACTGCTTAGGGGATAATGACAAGATAAATATCTGCACTTGTTCAGTTACAGACACAACCATCATATTCCTAACTACATAGTACATACCAGTAACAACCAAACATTTTTTCCTGAATATTAATCCACAGTTGGTTGAATCTGTGGATGCAGAACCTGTAAATATGGAAGGCCAACTGTGTATTACAGGTTCCATGGATTGGGATATACAGTTTGGGGAAACCATTATCCTGCCTACCGCATCATTTAATGCCTAAGACTACCCATGAAGTTCATCTGTACACAGCCTGTGCAGGACTTCATGTGGACACCAAAGTTTGGGCAATATCACAGAAAACAATGGCAAATGTAAATGTAGGTTCATAATCAGTGACAGCTGCAGTTCCACAGACCTCTGTGACATCCCTGAGGGGAAGAGTGAGGAGGAAAGGCTCCTGGCTATGGGATTACTTCCATCCTCCTTTAACATGAAGACTTTCACACATTTCACAGGAGTCAAAGAAGTGTAGTAACAGCTAAACACAGATTATCACATAAGTTAAATGGTTCTCTGGTACAAACAAAATGACCCAAACAGGTGTAGGGCACAGAAGGGACACCATGGCTTTAACTAGTCCTGGGAGGGAGACTCCTCTCACAAGCAGGTCACCAGTGGCTTGGGTTTGTTAGATAGACAAGAAAGAATAAGGGCATTCCAGGTACAGGGGCAGCCTGTACAAAGGCCCTACCATAGAAAAGGCCCAGTTGTGTAAGTATGGACAGAAACTTTGTACAGGCAGTACAAGGGCAGGTGGTTGGAATGGCAGACTGAGCCAGGTGGAATTGGCCCTGGGTGTGAACTCCCAGAAGCCAGCATGGAATTTTATGAAAGTCACTTTGGTGGCCACACCTCAGTGTGAATAGGAACAGGCAACCTGATAGGAAACTGTTGGTGGAGCCCAGCTAAGTATGGTGGAGGCCAATTAAGTTTGTCAGAGGAAGAAAGAGAATGAACTATACTCCAGGACAGTTTTGGAGCGGAGTGGTATGGATGGGACTTAGGACTCCAACTCCCTGCTGCCTCACTGTGTGGACTGGACAGGTTGTTTTACTGATGCATCTACATTTGTTCACCTGCACCATATCCCTACAGTAGGAAGATGGGGTGAGAACATCCACTGGAGCTCCTGCACAGCATCAGGCACAAAGAAGTGCTCAGAAGCATTACATGCTGTGGCTATTAGGCAGAAGGTGAGGGGAATCATGATGGCCCCAGCCTTCCATCTGATAGCTTTCTACTGTGTCCTGAGATCCCCACAACCCAGATGATGAAGGTGAGCTCCCTGAGGTCCCATAGCTGTCCCTTTGTTTCCCAGGGTCACTACGTTAGAAATTTCTTTCTTTTGAAAGATAGGGGGTGAGGATCAGATTGAAATTTATTTCTCACTTTGT